ACACACACATATACACTTGTATCTATTATATCCGTCGTTTTTTTCAGTTGATCAACCTAGCGAAAGTACTTTTTTGGCGGGTGGGGGCGATTTTTTCAAAAATGTTGCTCAATTTCACACTAAAGCCGATGATGGGCTTAGTTAAAGCTATCCTCCAAATACGACACCACAAGTCTCATTATAATTAATCAAAGTTTAGTTAAGACCACATTCTTTCTTCCCTCCCCCCCCCCCCAAAAAACACCCTCCAGGTTCAAGGTCAGCTCAAATCGTGCTTCCTGCGGCTGGCACGGAGCGGGGGGTACACAGGCGGCGATTTCACGCGCGCCTCCGGCTACTCCACCACCACCCAATACGCCACGGAGCTCAGCCGCACGCGCTCCGTCCACCACGCCGGGAACGGCGGCGGCGGGGACAACGCGCACATCCCGCTGCGCCCCATCTACTGCCCCAAAAACAATGGTAGTGACGTCAGAGCGAAAGACGACAACAGTGACGCTGACCTCGCCAACAACGGGGCTCTGCATACAATCATGGAGAAGTCGGAGGAGTTCTCGCCCCTGAACCCTGGCCCTGAGAGAGACAGTCGGATCTGAGCGACGAGATCCTGCCATCCGCTAAGAATACGTTTTTGTTAGGGTTTTTTAGTTGGGTATTGTTTCTTCTAGAAGATCCAGCTTGCTGGTCATAAGACCCATTCCAGTCAGTGGAATCGTGTTCCGCCTTGATGCGGAGTCATTTTAATATCCTGGAAAGGAGAGGAATGTCTTACAACAGTCTGTATAGATTCTATAGACAGCCATGACCAGAGCGAGAAGCGTCTAATTCCAGTCTCGCCTTTTGCTGATCTTCGGAAAGCTAGAGTCTGGTTGTCTTAGAGACGTATTCTTTAATGGACAAACGTTAAGTGTCATGATACGAGTAATGGTATACTCAATCAACAAGGGCACGGCGTTGTAAGGAGTTCAAAACTGTACAGAACTATTAGCTCACTTGTGAGTTATTTTTACCATCCTAGAACAATAGAGTCCGAAAGTAACTCGTGTGGTTTGACAACGGTTATCAAGCGAGCCTGGTTATTTTCTCTTAAATTAACAAAGAAAATTATATGTGCCAGCTTCTCTTTAGTAAGGAGAAAGAATAATGCCCAGAGCTTTATAGCTCTCGTAACCTTCAAGTCCTGGGCTCGCCTCTAAGTGTTCGTAGACACTGAAGGGCATGGGTTTAACAAATATATTTGTCTTGTAATAAATGTTGAACTTCTAGTGCTGGGTATTAAAATGTTGACATATCGGGAGGTGAAAGTTTTATTCTGAAATTTCTTTTAAAGGAAAAATGTGCACCATCTTTATGCTTTCCTATCCTTTTTCTGGAGTGGGGAGAGTCTGAATAAACAATTCGCTACCCTAGAATTACAAAGTTCTCTATCTGCTCAGTACCTAGTTTTGATAAATTTGACTTGAAAATTTTAGAGTTTCACAACATGTAAATCTTTTTCAAATGCAATTCTTTGAATATCTTGATAACGACTCCGATTTTGTTAGAGGAATAGAACATTTGGTTTCTGACCCCATGGTCCTAGTACCCCAAAACGGCCAGAAATGTCAGAACTTTGTAGTTCTGAGGTAGCGTGCATCATACTGACTGCCTAGCAGACGTATGTGGTTTAAGGATAAGGCTTTTTGTCGTTGCTCGGAGAAGATGTGAGTTCGATTTCAAAGTGGAGAAATTATTTTATTGAATACCTCCATCTTTTTGCTTGGGTGTCTGTTGCCGTTCAGTCCGGGTTGGCACAGAAGCAATCTGCTTTCTTAAGTATCTTCTAAATTGTATCGACGAAAGCGTGAAATAATGATACATATTAATCCACATTGAACCACTGTTAGTCAGTTGATTTCGTTGTTGTTATCGTTGCTTGTTTTTTTGTTTTTTGTTTTTTAATTGGAGGGGAGCGTGGGAGTGTGAAACATTGTTAATCGATTTTGTTTTGTTCTGTTTGTTGGTTTTGTGTGGGGGGTGAGAGTATGTGATTGAACTTTCAGTTTGTTTTGGAAGCGTGAAAAGTTGCTGTTCGAATGGACACATTGTTATAAAATGTCACGTAGTATGTTACATGTATATAACATATAATACATATTATGTACATGTATATGGGAGAGTATTATGATATGTCAAAGTTTTACATTTGGCTTCCTCTCCAATAGGAAGAAAAGAGTAAATGGATAAACCATTTTGGTGTAATATGTTGCCATGTCCCTCAAAAGTCACTCTGTGTGTGTGAGAGAGAGAGAGAGAGAGAGAGAGAGAGAGAGAGAGAGGGAGAGAGAGAGTGTGTGTGTGTGTGTGTGT